ATATAACCGATTATCTGGGGCTAATTTCGTCTTTCAATCAGATGTAGTATTCTCAGTGATCACATGATTGTTTCTGAGGTCATCCAACCCTCGAAAAATATGTCGAAATATAAATTGTGATCTGTGTTCTGTTTGAATGTACTTGTTATACTACTCTTGGTCAAATTACAGTTTTAATGTCCTCCTCTCACCTTCCGCCACGTTTCAACCCAAACCGATATCGTTTGTAGCATCGAACAATAGTAGTAACGTGGGCACACGAAAACGCTCCAAACCGTCTGATAGAGATGCGGACGAAATTCGGTGGAGTTCGGAAGAGGACTGCGATTCAAATGTGAGTCACTTCTCGTCTGATTTCGTGCGGAGACCTCTTATTGTTCTATTCAGTGCATGATTTACTCCAGATAGCAGTGTATGTATGAAACTATTATTAAAGGTGAACACGCAGTCGATATACAGAATTAAATGAAGGTCTTCCCGTGTAACTCATCCATCCAATTAATTACCTATACCTGACGCTTTTCCCCCTATTCAATCACGTCACAATGGTCATACTCCGAGAAATCACTTTACAGGCACGATCATTAGGGCGCCGAATAGAATTATTGGTCACCTAAAGCCGTCTATGTACTCTGCCGTATTCTACTTCTTTGTAACTCGCAAGCAAACAGGGAATAGGGAATCATTTACCAATTGGCTANGTTAATCATGATTAGGTTGAGTTTTTGCTCACTGACGAAACAGTCCAGGAGGCACAGCGACCGTTTCTTCTCCAGCCTACCGCTATCTAATAAATATAAATCTTCCGACCGCACCCCACTGGTGACAGGAAATGAGGTGAAAGTTACTCATAGGCCCTAACCTTCCCCGAGGTCNGGGGGTAGTGTGCTTTTAGAAGTATGACATACTTCTCAGGTACCCTGTATCTCCACAGACAGCTCCATAGTGCGGTGCAATGGACGGATTCGAAGACAGCTATATCCAAAAACATGACAATAGTTTGTCGGTTGTATGTGTGATTGTGTTGTAGCAGCTGACGAAGGGTGAAGATGTGATCTATGCAACCACGGCGTGCACGAAACCCGGCATGCGCTTCACGGATTTGCCTGCTTAATAAACCGGACGCTAACAGCTTTAACGCTATTGGACTCAGACTGATGCCCCTGTGATTGGAACAGGCTTTGCGAGAGCTCTTCTTGTTGATGGATGCAATAATCGATTCTCCTCATAGGTGGGGTACTTCCAGTTTCCCAGTTCTTTGATAATAGTCTAACAAGCTCTATCGTGAGCGCTTCTCCACCATGTTTAAAGAGGGTAGAATTCAGTCACCTTGTGGCTTTTCAGGACTCGGAGTTCCTTTTGGATCTCCGTTTCTGTTACTGGTTTCTTGGATAGTGACCAGAGCACACTCTCAAGCGGATTACTTGAGGCACCCAGCTCCGGGGGCTGGTTGAACTGTCATGTGAAGTGCTCTGCCCAGCGTTGCAAACGTTGGTGAAGACTATGTATTGGCATACCGTCTAATTCGCAGATGGTTTCACTAAAGCACTGTCTTTTGGGGCCCGTAGCACGGATGAGTTAGAGTAGTTGACAGGTGTTTTTATACCTAGCTGCTGATTCCATCTCCCTCGTACGTAGCCTCCACCAGGCTTCTCGGTCGTCTCTCAAACTCTTTGTGGGTTCACGTTTTAGAGAAAAACGCTGCTCATTGTGCTCGCTGTCCGCCGGGATTGCAGACGCCTGGCAGTCTGTGTCAATTTGTAGGCCGGCCGGATGATCACTAATGCACAATGATATCAGTCTATAGTTGACAGCAGCGTCTACTTTGTAGTATGTAAACCGTTGGCATGCGTGCTGGAAATTTGTAATGGATGCCGTATGAATGAGAAACGCAAATTAGGTCGGTAAAGAGAGCCCTTATGACCCGAGGCCTCTATGTTTCCCAACTGAGCAGAGTTAGTGGAAACGATTCAGAAGAGGCACTGCGTGGAAGGTTTCTTTATGGTGTCGGCTGTCGATAATGGTCCGCACTGTAGGGCTCGGGAAACCAACTGAAGGACATCGTTCATAGTATTGATTGGGAGCTCATAGCAGGTGGCGACTGATCACCTGTCTCTCTGAGGAAACCACATGAGTCCAATGATGGTTTCGCGACACTAAGTTTCTGGCTCCCTTATATGCGAGGCGAGGGTAAACGAGAAAACGCGTAGCTTCCCTGTCATCAGCTAACTTTCATAAGCCTGATAAATTTACTCTATCGCGGTCAACCGTGTATGAACCCGCTGCCACTAGTTTTTCTCTGAGGCTTATGATCCCCTGAGCGTGACTACCCGAATGGCGTATGTAACTGGCAATCATGAGAATGCAGCTTCTTATGCTATTTTCCTACCTGGCGAGTTAGATTTTCGATGTCCAAAGGCTACGAATGGAACTTCCTAACTAAAAGTTCTTTCGCCCAGTCCGGATGGCTGGGAAGTATGTTTTATCGGTTTGCTCTGGGGAAGTCATCATGTGCCGGATCCCCAATACTCTTTATGAATATTACATTCACCAAGCCGGCTCATCCTCTCTCAGGAGATAGTTATATGAAAATAAAGTAAAATGTAACTGCGGAATAATGGATATGTACTACTGGTGAGCTTAAACCAGATCAAAACTCGAACCATGTGCTCCCCGAATAGTGATTGAATGATCTGAGGATCGTGGGTGAAACCCAAAGAATGATTCGTTGAAGTGAATAATAACCTCCATCGTTTACTACAGGTATTGACCAAACTCGTGCAACATCCTAGTTTTCATTACATTTGTTCCTCTCAATTCTTTATTCTTCCAGCCTCATTCACGGGATTGAATATGATATTGCCCCACATCAGATGCAACATATCTGATATAATATCCACTTGTGTCACTGCTTCTATTAGCCACATGCCATTAAAATGTACAATTTCGCGCTTTCAACGATTTTTGCAAATACATCAGTTGTAAGATAACAAGGTCACAGTATTGTCTCGTCTCTCTCATCCGTTGCCTTAAACGAGTAAATTCCCTCCAACCCTTTATGTGATTTGATTAGATAATATTCCGTGATCTGCGACGCTTAAAATCGCTCACCTCAACACGAGACTGTCTGATTACCGACTTGTACGTTTTGTAATGCTATTGTTGTTACGTCCAGTCCATCCTTGTGCTGATGGCACTCCTGCTGCATAGTCGAAGTTCACTGGGCCTGTCTAAGACTCACGGCTGTAAACAAGGTGTGGTTTCTCACTCGGGTTAGCTGGTCAAGCACCAGGTCCCTTGTTGCGGCTGAACCATTCGACCGATCGATAAACGAAGCCGATCTGTCGTGATTTTCGGGCCGGCACAGGAGGAGGATAGGTTCCAAATCCGATGCTGCCTAATTGTTGGTAGAGAATCAGCTGTGGAGCGATGCCCCATGTGGGGAATTCGGAATAGAAAATGCTCAGTCGATGATGACACTGGGCCAACGCTTGACTCGTCTAAGATATACGCACGAAGCGGGTTCGGTAAACAGTTAATCATTGTAAAACTTTGAACTTGTCCTAATAACGGACAACAATATCCCCTAATGTAAATGTAATGATGCAAAGTGTCTCCTAACAGTTCGCACGAGTAAGTGTGATTTTAGAGAAAGTACTCGCAGTTCGTATTTGTTTGTGGGTTGACCTAATGAAAATCATGTTGCTCGTTACCGTTTGAGTCTTGGTAGCCGCGGTTTCGACACCAGTTCATTGAAATACAACGTGTATTCCGACTGCACTATCTCCTACTAACGGTTTAACACACCAATCTGGTCAGCATCCATTCCGGCAAATTCCCTGTCGCCTGAATGTAGGCAAAACACTGTACACTAAAAAACCGCGGAATTATCGGAAAATAATAAATGAACGAATTTGCCTAGTATGCTTATAACTTTCGGATGTATACTAATTGGTTCGGCTTTTCCATTTGGAAACTGCGACAACAAATTGGATAAAAAAACGATGGTGGTAAAACTGAGTTATCGGTAGCCGTTGAGGGTTGTCAGGATCCCCAAAATTGTTTTATCTGTGTCATTTTATTCGGGTGATTAGAATTCATTTTGCCAATCCAACGTGTCGACCGTCATTGGAAAGCATTGAAAGCATTTTACAGCTGTTTCATCCATGTTATGAATCAGCAGCAGNAGCAGCAGCTCTCATCCACTGAAACCACTTTCGTTCAAACTCGTGCATTGTGTGTTGGTAGTCGGACAAAATGATCACTTGAAATATCTCGATTGAACCCTGGAAAGCTTGTTCTGCCTAGAAAAATATTCATTACTTCCTGCTGTTGACCATCATGTTTACCGTCGTATTACACTTACTCATGCTTTTATCCGTCCCCAAATCGGTTACGATATGACACTATCACGTACTAAATCAGCGTTCACAATGTTTATCAGTTCATTTTTTTCCTTGATGCGCTGGTCGCGTGAAGTCTATCTTCAGACTTCTGATTGACCACATCCGGGAATGTTAGTTATGGTAACCAACTCTGGAGCTCATTTTTGCCCTAGGGATCCTTCCGACCTGATTAACTTTGATAGGACTGATGGCAGTGACGGATGAATGCTGTTAATCCAGAACAAGCTGCTAAAGGCGTGGCACTCAAACTCAAAACCCAGTGAACCTGCTGGATACGCATTTCTGGTGAATACTTTTGGGAGTTTTCCATGATGAATGATCTGTTGTTTCTGGTTGTGTCAATCACCCACGATCAGCGTCTCCCTGTCCAACAGAAACATTCGGGTCCAATCTTTCTTCCGATATCAGCTGAAGTGAAGCGCACTGTTTCATACTCTCTCTTTGTGTTTTTAAATATAGCTAATTGTCTGGTAATGTTATTCTTCACGCGTGGTGGGTTTCTTGTTTTTTTTTAGGTCCCTAGCGAATCAAGTCGTACAATGGTGAGGAGAACAGCTTACGCAAAGCGTTCCAAGGTCTCGTTCGGTTATTCAGACAATGAATCCAACTCTGATCCCGATCACATAGATGGAGACGAAGAAGACGCGCTAGCGATGACCATTGAATCTGATGAATCACCCCCTCCGGCCAAATCTACGACCAGTAGACGTGGAAGGGGCAGCACCCGATCCAGAGCTCCACGAGCAACTGGACGTACCCGAGCGGGTCGTAACACTAGACTGTAAACACCACTGATCTTTGTATGCATATCTCGCTGTGAAACTATTGACTTTCAGAATTCTCCGACCATTTCATATTTTCGTTTACTTTTACATTATCGCCTTCACATGATCGAGGGGATGTGTAGTGGGTTTTAGTTCAATCTGCTGTTGAGGTCGATCAATACTAACAATTTTATCTGCCATTGTGATCTAGAACGAAAGTTTACATGGGACGATGGATAATTTTGAACTCCTGAATACACTATAGGGAACACCTGAGTCCAAGCCTGGAGGTGTAGTTGCGCAGAAATCATCGTGTTCGGTTTGCACTCAGCAAGGGAATAGAGGGCGTATTATAAAATGTCTTTCAACCCACCGTGCAGTTGGTAGTCGGGATGAATAATCTGAGGTAAGTTCCTCAGATGTTGTCTTGGACTCGACATTGATTGATGACCTACAGCAGCCTAGGTACCTATGAGCTGAGAGCCCTTCTTTAAGGTATTGGTAAAAACTGCTGTGGGGCATAACAAAACGCAGATAGTAAGGACCTAACCGATCGCACACACAAAATGAGAGGTTAATTTAGATAGCGTGTACAAAACTACAATACTGATATAACACAATCCGCGGTGATGAAAGTGGAACTATGGTAATCAGTTAAAATTGCAAATACAATTATCTCCGGTCCCTCTGGTTTTAAAGCAGGGATAAACGACATCCGTTCTTGAACTTTTAGCGTGTTTGTTTACACAAACTTGTTTTTTACATTAACGCATAAGGTTTCCTAAGAAAACTCCGAGTTTCAAATGGGCTTGCAAACTAGTCAGTGGGATCTTGTTGCCATTACCGAAACTTGGTTGACTGCCGATATTCTCGACTACGAATTGCACCTACCCGGACTGTCGCTGCTGAGGCGTGATCGTCCTACACATGGTGGCGGTGTGCTGCTATATTTCCACAGCAACCTTCCGTGTGAACCACTCGATCTGTTCGATGCAGCCCTCGACACACTTTGGTACACAATGAGGCCGTCCAAAGATGGCAATTGTTTGATCGGTGTAGTCTACCACCCTCCTGCATCCTCAGACTTAGCTAACGAGGCACTCTTGCAGACTATGAGAAGTGCTCTCTTAGTAAAGTTCACTCATGTTCTCATAATGGGAGACTTCATTTGTCCCAATTTTATAATAAGCCAGCCATTGGAACGAAGCTACTATGCAGTTCTCCTTTTCGATTACATTTACCATGCCTCAATAGAAATATGCCTGAAGACCAACACAAGCACTGTTATTGACTACAGTGAATTGGTGAACCTTGCTACTGTCAAACAACGGACACAACCAGAAGAGCATCTAGAACCACTGGAGTCCTGGAAAAGATCCATTGAAACACTAACAGAACTCATAACGGTCACCACAAAAACCAAGCCTGTCGGTACGTCGCCTACACGATTATCACCTATCCGTAGTCGAACCAGGAAATGGATGTCACAGAGGAATTTCTCCTGGCGAGAATTCAGATGTCCGACCGCTGACACTTGGGATAACTATATCATGTTGAGAAACTTTTATGTAATATTATTGCGAGAGGATGAACGGAGGTTTCAAGAAACTGGCACAAATTTATTTCCAATCCAAAGCTACTGTATAAGCACATCAATGCTACCAGAAACGTGAAATGTGGAATACCGGCACTAAGGCATGCAGGATGCGTTTCCACTTCTACTTCTGAAGCAGCCGAATTCCTAAAAGTGTTCAAAACAGATAACAAAGGCGGATTACAGCTTCCACACCTATCAAGTGTCCCATACCCCCAACTGACCACCGCCACGTTCAAATCTGAAACGGTTAAAAATAAACTTGGCACTGCGCCGGGATTCATCTCCAGGGGAAGACAACATCCACCCACAGATCCTGACGTCCTTGGCAAATTACATATCTGAAATCATTGCCCATTTATACTAAGGAATGTTCGACAAAACGAAGGTCCCTCAATCCTGGGCACATGGCATCATTTCGCCTATTTACCAAGGTGGTTGCAGAAGTGATCCAGCGAACTACCGTCCAGTTACACTTCTTCCTGCTCTGTCAAAAGTAATGGAATCACTTGCTGATTCTCTGATGGATCATTTCGAGAGGCATAACGTACTTTTCCGGCCCAACACGGATTTCGAAGGAAACGCTCGTGCACCACCTGCTACTTGCACGAGATGAATGGACAAGGTCAGTCGACCTAGGAGAGGCAGTAGACGTAGTCTACTTAGATTTCTCCAAAGCTTTTGACAGGGCCAACCACCATATATTGCCTTGAAAACTCCATAATTACGATGTCCGAGGACTGCTACTGGACTGGATTGAGGAATTTCTTCGACAACGTACCGTATCGATTCGAGTTAATGGTTCTCTGTCGGGACCGATTGAGGCTGTCCGTGGAGTTCCACAAGGAT